AATAGAGTCCTTCAGAAACATAAGGAAAGTAGTCCATTTGAACTTTGAAGAAGTCAAAAGACAAGCTTAAAATACCTTACAGTGTGATGGTGTCTTGGAAATGTATTAATCCCATAACACAAGAGGAAGAAGCTAGGTCCTAAGACAGTAGACTCTATCTTTTTAGATTATGTAGAAAACACTTATACTTTGAGATTCTTAGTGATCAAATCTGAAATCCCTGTCATAGATGTTAAAAAAATTGTTGAATTTCATGATGCAACTTTTTTTGAGGATGTTTTCCCTATAAAAACTAGAACGCCTCAAAATATTTCTAATAAAAATCATGTATCTGTCTCAACTTTCATTCCTGATCATGTGGAAAGGATGACAAATGTGGAGGCAGATAATTCTAAATCTAAATATGAGAGTTCAAATGATTTAGATGAACCTAGAAGGAGTGAGAGAGCAATAATTGTCAAGGATTTTAGAAGTAACATTGTCACTTACAATATCGAGGAGGATCCTACTTCCTACAGATCTGCTATGAGCTCAAAAAAGGCTAAGTAGTGAAAGGATGCTGTCAAATGTGAAATGGATTCTATTATCTCTAATGGGACATGAGAATTAGTTGATCTTCCTCCTAGGTGCAAGATAATTTGGTCTAAATGAATTTTTAAAAGGAAAATGAAAACATATGGAATTGTAGAAAAGTTCAAGGTCAGACTTGTTGCTAAGAGGTTCAAACAAGTTGAAGGAATTGATTACTCTGGCACATACTCTCCAGTTGTCCGAATGACTACGATCAGAATGCTTATTGTATTAACTTCTATATATGATTTTACAATATACCAGATGGATGTGAAAACTACTTTTCTTTATGGTTTCCTTGAAGAAGAGATTTATATGGATCAGCCTAAGGGATTTATAGCACCAGACAATGAAAAAAAAGTTTATAAACTTGTGAAGTCTCTATACAAACTTAAACAAGCTCCTAAACAATGGCATAAAAGGTTTGATATGATTATCATTGATTTTGGTTTCAAAATGATTGAGTCTGATAAGTGTGTTTATAGCAAAGTTAGAGGTGATTCATGTATTCTTCTATGCATTTATGTTGATGATATTCTATTATTTGAGTCAAACATATGAGACTAAGTTCTTCTTAGTAGTAAGTTTGATATGAAGGACATGAAAGTCGCTAACGTGATTCTTGGCCTAAAACTGATTAGATCAGCTGATGGCATAGCTATTTCTCAATCTCACTATATTATTGGGAAATTTAGCTATAAGAATTGCAAACCCGTTAGAACTCCATATAATCCTTCGGTAACTCTTTACAAGAATGTAAGTGAATTCTCTGTATCTTAATTAAAATATTCGCAGACCATTGGAAGCTTGATGTATCTTGCAAATTGTACAAAACTAGATATTTCTTACTCGGTTTCTAAATTAAGCAGATACACTAGCTATCCAAGTAGGGCTTATTGGGAGGCCTTGGATAGGAGACTTCCGTGTCTCAAGGGAACTATATCCCTTGCGTTGCATTACGATAGATTCCCTCCTGTTCTGGAGGGGTACAGTGATGCTAGCTGGATTGTTATAGCTTCAGATAGCAATAGTTGTACAGGGCATGCATTTACCTTGGGTGGTTGCGTAATCGCCTGGAGATCTGTCAAACAGACCATTTTATCTTGGTCTACTTTTGAGGCAAAGCTATGTGCTTTGGACACTACTGGTTTAGAAGCTGAATGGCTTAAGGGACTTATGTCCGAGCTACCCATGATCAGTAAGCCTATTCCTACAATCTCTGTGCATTGTGACAATATGACCACAATCACAAGGATTAAAAGTTTAAAGTATAACCACAAAACTCGAGGTCGTATCCAAGTATGAATAAAGACCGTGAAAAAGTTTGTTGATGAAGGGGTAATTATTGTGGACCTTATCAAGTCCAAGGACAACACAGTAGACCCCTTTACAAAAGAAATTAAGTTGTCATTTGTTCTTAAGCCCAGGTTGGTGATGGGACTGAAACCATTACCTAACTCATCGACGGTAGCAACCCAACCTATCTAAGTGGAGATCCCACAAAGTAGTTTCAATGTGGTAATAACAAGCTATTGTATGAGTTGAATACCTAATCATAGATTGATATGTTGTATCTGAGTCTATCATCACGTATACCTGGAAGGTATTGTTAACTGCTAGTATAGTAAGAGTGTTTTGACTCTGAATGAGATGAAGTCTTTAAGACGAGATGCAAACAGTGTATCCCTAGAGATGGACAACTATGTGAACATAATTATGTGGCCGATAAAGGAAGTAGGTTATTCCTTAAAAATGTTCATGAAAAGGAGAATGACGCATAGCCATAATGCATCAAACCTAAAGATTGTTATTGTAGAATATATCATGTTATTACCAATGAATATCACCACATCAAAGGTTCAAGTTCAAGACTTAGTTTCACTTCGTGCTTGTGGTGATAAATTTGCATAACTATAGAGAAGGCTCAAATCGGAAGATACCTTCTCCAAAAGCATGATATGTATAGTCTTCTTTACTTTCAGTTATGGAATTGTGGAGGATCGATGATATATATGAAGAGGAACTTTATGGAAAGATGCCATTATGGCTAGATTCTATAGATAAAATTTAAAATATGTTTAATTAGTAATATGTAAGTTTTAGTCCTACATTGACTAATTGAATGTATTTAGTTAGTCCAAATTAGCATACGTGTTATATTTGGTATAACGAATGTGCTAGAATTGTACATTTATGTTGGCATATAAGCGAGCGTGCGAGCAAGCGGGCACGAGTGAGCAGACACGAGCATGTGTGTGGGCTCGTGTGCATGGGCTTGTGCTCCTTTTGCATGTGCTGTCTTTAAACCAGCATAAAAGTTTCAAACATTACAAATATTACAAGGTTTGAATGATAGTTATTCCAGGCGTTACAAACGTTATAATAATTGGCATTCAAAGTTTTGTCTAACTATTTAGCTCTCATAAACCCTATAAAAGGGAGTACTCTATTCATTTGAAACACACAAAATGAATTATTTTCTTGTCTTTTTACAATTTTATAAACTGTTAGTACTGAAGATTCTGGCGAACAGAAGTTGTAGTCGAGGTGTTCAATGGAAGAGAGCGATTCTTTGGACTACTGTTGTCACATCCTCATGAGTATTGTGCAGACCCAACGCTACCATAGGTGGGGCATAATTTCTTCACGGTCAGTCCTCTGTTTAGAGAGCAATTCGGTAATTTAATAAAGTATCTCGAGCTTGAAGTCTATTTGAAATGTTTTTAATAACACTCTGCTCTAATCTTTCATTCTTGTGTGGTTTGTACTGTTTATTTTTAGATCTATTTTTATTCTTGTTTTCCCAACAAATTAAACCTTGATCCACTATCCTACACTATCAAACTTCATATTAGATTTCATTCATCCAATATCACGGTCTGAATTCTAATACCGCTTATTACATTATTCTTTTCAAAATGAGGCTATTCTCGTATATAATTTTCCAATATATTAATGCTAGAACTTGTGTACTCGTGGCTAGACCTCCTATTTGTACTTATTCAATGACAACCAACCTTAAAACAAGAGCTACATATCGAAAATGTCTTCCAACCACAATCTTGAAGGCAACATTATTGCTCATGTTGATGTGAGGGCTTAGGTCAATTGGACAACTAGATTTCCTCCACAAGGGACATGGGCCGTCAACCTTGTAATTTTTTGATGAGTTTGTGTTCGAGATGTAAGGATGGGACCTAAATGTTGATGGAAATATGAAATCTAAATTAGGCCGGATGTAATAACCGTAAATTTTTAATACTGGTTTAAATAATTTTCTAGCATTTAAATATTAAAATTTTATTTTCTAAAAGAGTATTTGTATTTTCTCTAATTTTCTAGAATTTTTTATAATTTAAAAATCCAAATTTATATTTATTTAATGATTTTGCTAATTATAAATTATATTCTTACAGTGAAAACTTTTTAAAATTAATATTGATTATTTATTATTATTATTGTTATTATTATTATTGTTATTAATTATCTTGTATTATATTTTTAGCCTGTATCTTTATCCCCTATCTCTATTTATAGCTATCAGCTAATCAGCACGACAGTCAATCTATTATCTGACTTTCCCCTGGTTCCTTCGTATCAGCCCCTCTCTCTCCAATAATTCATTCTCTCTCTCCTACCCCCACCTCCCCTAGATTCCTCCCCAATTTCCGCACCCCACTTAACTCTGTCTCCCCCTCTTATTTTAATCCCACGCGCATCTCTCTCTCTCTCTCTCAATCATTCACACACTCTCTTCCTCGCGTCCTCGTCATATAAACCAACAACCCCACAGCTCGACCCACCGACCTTCCACGCCCTACGCCCCTCTTGCTACCTCCAGCCTCAGACACTCGCCGCATTCCCTTGTCTCCCAAACTCACAGCAGCCCACCTTCAACCCGACCCACAGAGCCGCCACAGCCCCCCCTCCTTCCTTTCTCATCCCACCGTCAAAACACCGGTCCCAAAACTCCACGCCGGCGCACACCGCGATATTCGTCCTCCGCCCTATTCCTTCCCCTCGAGTCCCCTCACCCCGCTAGCTCGCCGCCGAGCTCCGATGCTGACCGGCGAGCCGCCCAAGTCCGCCGCCAGTCCATCGCGCGACGCCTTGCAGCACCGCCCTCGCCCTCGACGCCCTAACCTCTCAAAACAGCCCGCCGACCATTTTTTTTTATTTTTTTTTTTTTGTTTTTTTTTTTTTTTTTTTTTTTTTGTTTTTTTTTTTTCTTTTTTTTTTTTTTTTTTTTTTTTTTTCTTTTTTTTTTTTTTCTTTGTTTTTCTTCTTTTTCCATCCCGCTCCTCACTTCGTTCTCGCGAGCAGCCCAGCTTCTCAGCGTCGACTCCTCCACCTCATCCCGACTGCACCACGACCTCCTCCCGCCACCTTGGCCACCCGGCGCCAGCGAGCCGAATCTGCTGGAGGTTTCGCTGCCAGAAAACTATAGATCGGAGCTACTTCGCGCCCGTTTTTCCGGCCAACTCCGAGTTCCGTTTCCGTCGATTCCTTCGCCAGTGCGTAGCCCTTCGTGTTGTCTATCGTACAGTATATTTCTTTCACTTGGGCTCCCTATCTACACCTCGTTATACTCGTTTGAATATCGCACATCGCATTAACACTCTAATTGTAATTTTAGCCGTCGATTCCGCGAAACCCGTCATAACACTGTGCAACCACCCCGATGACCCCCCTTACGGTCCACGATATACCCAAGGCAAGATCCTACTTGCTCAGATCTGAATTTTGTATTTATTAAGAATTATCTGTAATTTTATATCTGTTAATAATTATCTATATGAGATTGTTTGATGAGTAATATTAGATAAATCATAATAATATGATAATTAGTATTTTCAGAATAATTATGACAAATTAAAAGAATTTATTTCGGTAGCGGAATCATTTTTTGAATAATTATATTAATGAAAAAGAATTTATTTTAGAACGAAATCATTTTAGAAAAATTATAATAATTTAAAAGGAATTATTTTGGGAAAAGAATCATTTTAGAATAATTATAATAATTTTTTAGAATTTATCTTGTGGAAGAAATCATTTAGAATGATAAATATTTTAAAAAAGGAAATTATTTTTGGAAAATAGACTATTTTAAAAATAATGAGAATTTATCTTATAAAAAGGTTATTTTTGAATTTATGAATTTATTATTTTAAAAGATTATTTTTAGAATTATTATAATGAGAAAAGAACTTATTTTGGAAAAAATGGATTATTTTGAAATTAAATTAAAGAATTTAAATTGTAAAAGGAATTATTTTAAGTAAATAACTTTATTATTTTAGAAGATTAATTTAGAACAATTTTATGATTTAAATTCTTAATTTTGATTATCTAATATGCTATGATCTTATTGCTCATGATCAGTTGCATTGCTTGATTGAGAACCGTAGTAGTTATGACTTTAGTGGCCCTACGTGTTGTGTACCAGACCTAGAGACATGTGTATGTTGACTTAGCAAAACAAGAAGAGTTGGGGTGAGAAAGTCATGGTTCATGTGATCGGATAAGGCTGTTGATGTATCTTCCAGGCTCGCGCCAGTGGTTGGTGTCACCACTTGGGTTGGTTTGTAGGGCTAAAGTAAAGTGTGTACATCACTTTGGTCAGTGGGAAATTTATTTCGTCACCCGGGTTCTGTTTGAAGTTTGGACCAGGCAGAAACGATTTGCGTGTAGTCCTCTAGGCCGCATGTGTAGCGGGATTGGATGCACGTAGGGGATTTGTGAACAGTCAGTTATCCGATGACAGGAACGTTGACTCTATGTGAGATATGTATCAGTGGCCTGTTATAGAATGGCTAGTTACATGACATCGTTACTCGGATGATTATGAGTTATTGTGAGATACAGACCAGTTATATTTCTTTTCATACATAGATCAGGATTAATATTTAATTATTTACAATTTGAGACTATGGTATATACATGAGGGTTTCCTTGTTTGGATTATTTCGCTCGACGTACTACGTCTCGAGTTGTAGATCTTTAAGCATTAATCCCAGCTAGTGTATGACCATGTACTTGGATGATTATTCTGATCGTTAGCTGCATGATCGACTTGTTACTTGGTTGATTTCCTTGGATTTATTATGATTATTCTATTCTAGTAGTAAATTATATTTAGATTATTAGTATTTCAGTTGCATGTTTCCATTGTTATTACCATTATTGCATTGGTCGTACGACCGTTCTATTCTTCCTTTTGGGATCTTACCGTGTGCCTGTAGGCTGTCTAAAAATCACAATAGATAGCTGATCCCCATCAAACACCGATGACAGAAGTTACAATCTGACGACTTCCAGAAGGCTACAATTTGAGGACTTTCACGTAGAAGGTTACAATCTGACGACCTTCACAACAACTAATGAAAGCCCCAATTCAACAGCCTTCACAATCGACATCAGGATTTACAATCTGATGACTCTCATATTTTCAAGGAGCCAAGGCGAAGGTCACAAGGTGACGATCTGTGCAAAGCTCTAGCAAAAGAGACTACAAATTGACGGTCTCTTCATATTAGAATGCAGATATCTCTCAAACCGTAAGGAATTTGGCGAAACGGAGGAAGCGAACCAAAGCCTTTGGCTTGGTTCGGATGACCCCGTCTCGTCGAGATAGCCGATTTTCATATATAATTCGTCTAATTCCGACTTACGGTTTGAAAGTTATGACCTGTTCTTCGTAGCAAATTATGTTCTGAAGTCCGTCTGCAAGACCGGACTTCGTCAGAACATTGGACTTAGCTTGAAGCTCGCCAAGCCCACCTAAGATTCGCCTCTGCATTACAGAGTCAAAACGCACAGGTCGAACCAGCGTTATAACCTCAAAACGCAGAGGTTATCCTTGTGATATAACATCAAAACGCAGAGTTACGGCCCAACTCTACGTTTTCAGCCTAAAACGCAGAGTTCATCTCTAAAACAGCACGACCTATGCGTTTTCAGCCTAAAACATGCCCAACTCTGCGTCTCATTTCTAAGACGCAGAGTTAAGGTCCAGAACGCCCAGATTGGCGTTTTGACTCGTTCAAAGCGCTAACAGAACGGTTTCAAAACTGTTTTCCCACGATTTAGGGAGCTGTTTAAGAGGGGGCGGTTACACCCCACTCAGCCCATTGAGGAGTAAATTAAGGGGGCAGTTACACCCCCTTAATCCCCTATAAATACGAGAAACTCAATTGAGTTAAAGGATTAGATTTTCTCTCATCAACAAAGGGAAATTCGGTCAAGGGCTGGCTTTTTTGACCTGAGGATTGGCAGCAAAGAAGAGCATTCGTTCTTCGACTGGAGCTTTAGAGGTCGACAACAGGAGCTTCTTTATCCTTGGCTTATTAACCGAACTTTTGGTTTAAATCAACTCTTTCATAGAGATAAACTCGCTCTGAGTTATTAACTCGTTAAGAGTTATTTTTTAAGACTTGCCACGCAAGTTCTCCATAGCGTCGAATCGTGAGGAGAAGACTTCGTTCCAGTGAATCAAAGCGTGCGGATCGTCAACGGAGAGCAAGTTCGACACAATCAATCGAAGGAGGCACTCCATCGCCACCAAGAAGAACCCAGTTTTAAACAAATGGGAGAATCAAATTCATTCTCCTCTCTTTTGTAATCGTAATCCAAATTGTAATTGATTTTGAGAGGAATACAAGTCAAATTTTCTTTCATTGTCTTTTTACTACAAATTTCCAACAAACAAAAGATGGCGACTCCGCTGGGGACTAGCTTCTCTGATGAAGAAGTGGTGGTGCAATCCGACGTTCATCTCACTGGAACGACCGTTGAAACTCTGATTATCGAGTTTGATCAAGCCAAGTACGAGGAGGCCATCTCCTCCGGATCCCTTAGCCCCAAGGCTATACGCAAGATCCACAAAGTTTTCGAGGAGACTAAAGCTCCAGTTGTAGCCACCTCATCTAAAGACTATCTGCCATGGGGGTTGCACTGTTCATACAGTCCCCTCTCTAAAGGAGAAGACTCGACTTCGGCACAACTCCAAAAAGGGGGTTGCACTGTTCATACAGTCCCCTCCCTAAAGGAGAAGTCTCGACTTTGGCACGACTCCAGAGCTGATTCTCCAATCAACGCGAACTCCGCGTTTGTGAGCCTCAACATGAGCTCTGCATAAGCCAAGCTAAACGCAACCCTCAGGTGTGCATTTTCCAGATAGAACGCAACCTTCAGAGGCGTGTTCCAACATCTAAACGTAGACATCAAACCTGCGTTGATCTGGCTGAATGCAACTCTCAAGAGTGCGTCCCAGAACCAAAACACAACTCTCAGGAGTGCGTTTCACAAACTGAACGCAACTCTCAGGAGTGCGTTCTAATATTTAAACGCAGAAATCAAACCTGTGTTGATCTGGCTGAACGCAACTCTCATGAGTGCGTCCCGGAACCAAAACGCAACTCTCCGGAGTGCGTTCCACAAACTGAACGCAGCTCTCAGGAGTGCGTTTCATAATCCGAACGCAGATTGCAGGACTGTGTTTCACTAGCAAAACGCAGACTTTGGTCTTACGTTAATCAAGCTAAACACGACCCTCATGTTCCTTCTTTGGAACACGATGTGATTCGTCGTGTTCAAAATGATCAACATGGATTTAAAATTCATGTTTTCCAAGAACCAGTCCCATCCTTTAACGGACAGGGGGTTCCATCTTTACCCTCACGCTCCGTGAGAGGTTCATCCCAAGTCGCTGACTTGCGGGAATTGCTGTCGATACCGACGAATGTCGTTTTGCTCAATAATCGACGACATCCTCACAGAAAGAAGACTTTAGAGGATGAATACCTTGGAGTCACTTCCAACATGGTTGGTAGAGGGAGATCATCAACCCTTAGTTCTGACGAGTCAGAGACAGATCGTTCTCCAAGAGTTAGAGAAATCACTAATGAGTTTGAAGGAATCTATCAACGTACTCGGACTCGAACAGGAGCCATTCCTCTTATCAACTATCGAAGTTTAGCTAGAGGAACTAATTCCGATGACGAACACTCAGCCATTGCGGAGTCCCAATCATTAAGCTCTTTCGTTGGGCATGAGAGCTTCGCCTACATGGCAGAACATTCTGAAGACCTTTCAAAGAGACTTGATGAACAGGAGGCCATGCTGAAATCACAGCAGGAGGCCATCAATGAACTCATGGCCATGTTGACTCAAATCGTCGCAGACAAGGTCAAATCTCAGGAGACATATTCGACGCTTAGGCAAGAATCTTCCCGGAGAGGAAAAGCGTCTCCATCCCAACCTCACACAAGCAAAGGGAAGGGAAAAGTGGTTGATGATGCGGCTTCTGACCAAGAAGCCCACAGCCTGGAATCTTCCTCTGATGAAGGAAGAGAGACGGAGAACGAGCAGAATCTTCAGTCTGCCAAAATGGAAGAATTGGAAGCCCGCCTCAAAGCCATTGCTAAAAGAAGCGAGCTCCAAGATGAGGAAGTTATCAGGCCCTATCCTGCCAAATGGGATGCAACCCATTATCCTCCAAAGTTCGAGGTCCCGACGCTACAAACTTTTGACAGCACGGGATCACCGAACCAACATATTTATCATTTCAAGTCACAGACTGGAAATGTAATATCAAACGATGCCATACTGGCTCGATTGTTTATTGGCACCCTCAGGGGAATTGCCTTTGAATGGTTCAGGAAACTTCCCGTGGGATATATCCAAAAGTGGACAGATCTAGAGAGACTCTTCCTATCAAGATTCTTTGAAGAGGATACAGAAGTCTCAGACTCTTCCTATCAAGATTCTTTGAAGAGGATACAGAAGTCTCCATTCATACCCTTCTC